TCTGTCCACTCTTCTTGATGATCTGGTTAAGGGGTTTAAGGCCTATGCAGAACAGCATTGGGGATAGCGCATCACCTTGCTATATGCCACATTTAATATTCACTTGAGTTATTGTCCTGGAATTGGCTTCTAGAGTTGTTTTCCACTTGCCCATCAAGTTCTTGATGAAGGCTCTTATTGTCTTGATGACCTTGTAGAGAGCCAAGCATTCCAGAATCCATGTGTGTGGCATTGTGTCATAGGCTTTCTTGTAGTCAATCCAGGCCACACACAGATTGGTCTGTCTGGTCTTAGAATCCCTTGTGACTACTTGGTCTACCAGTAGTTGCTGTTTTGATCCTCTGGTATTTTTTTCCAATCCCCTTCTAAATATTGCTCATATATTGACTCATATGCCCTTGGATCTTGGAGGCTATGATGCCTGACAGGAGTTTCCATGTTGTGGGGAGGCAGGTTATTGGTTGGTAGTTAGATGGTGCTGTTCCCTTGTGAGGGTCCTTCATGACCAGTATTGTTCTGCCTTGTGTTAGCCAGTTAGGGAGGGAGCCTGTTACTAGTAGCTGGTTCATTTGTGCTGCTATGTGTTCATGCAGCGCTGTTAACTTCTTTATCCAGTAGTTGTGGATCATGTCATGTCCTAGGGCTGACCAGCTCTTCATGTGTGTTGCTCCCTATTGGATATCTTCGACTGTGATGATGATTGGTTCCTGTTCTGGCAGCATGCAGTGGTCTGCTTTCAGGTCTAGTAGTAGCTCAGTTCTGTGTGGGTCTTGCGAGGAGATGTGGTGGTTACCCTATAGCTGTGCATACACCTTGGATGGTTCTTTGGTAAAGAGGGCATTGATTCTCTTAGCTTCTGCTCCTATAGTGTATGCTTGTTTCCAGCACCTCCGGTATGAACATATCCTTGTACTTCCGCAGCAGCCAGGATCTATCTTTGATATTTCCACCTCTGTTAAGTTGATCCAGTTTACTAACATCCTTCCATGTTGTCTTTATCTTGGCTTCCAGTGGTAGTCTCCATGGTGAGCATTGCTTCTCTTTGAGCCTGATCTTGTAGTCAAGTAGCTGGTGGACCACTAATGCTGTGGCATATATTAGCCTGTTCATTTCTGTGATGGGGCAGGATGGGATTGTGGACAATGCTTCATTAACTGCAGTTCGCATGCTGTCTGGTGGTTGCTTTCCAGTGATCTTCGGTAGTCTTGTCCGCAGGTTATTGACTGCTAGTTTTCTAGGATCATTTCCCTTAAATCTGTTGTTATGCCATCTTGGGGTATCGATTCAGCTTGATAATTCTCTTCAGGTAAGAATGTGGGTATGGGAATTTCTTCCTCTTCATGGTGTATGGTTGATTTCTTCTGTAGTCCATTTATTTCCAGTTGTGACACTAGATTTCTCTTGAAGATGTTCAACTGTTGTGTAACCAGCTGTTTTGGTGTTAGGGCAGATGATGGTCTCTTATTCATCATAGCTCTCACATACGTTTCATGTAGCCTCTCTCATTGGGTCTGCTATTGTAGTAGGATTCAAGCAGGACTAGGTTTTCTCTACGTGTCCAGCAATGATTTGTTCCAGTAGCCAACTTGTCGTTTGATTGCCTTGGTTCCCAAGCATCTGACGCAGACCTTGTTAATCCAGGCAATGTCCGAGCCGGCATGACTCTCTTGGTTCGAGTTGCTCTCATATTATTGAGGTGGGCAGGGTATATATCTTTAGGTGTCTTGCCCAGGCACACTTACTGGTGCAGTGGTTTGGATATGGGACTGAAATGGTGAATGTATGCTTTTGCACAGCTGTAAAAAACAAATAATGTTATTTAGTAGATTTTGAAGTCCTATGAGTGTGTTCTTCACTTTGGCTGAGATCATCAAACTTGATGATCTCAGACAATACAATTATTTTCCATAGGAAAGCATTGGGAGGCTATTGTGCATGTGTGGCAAACATTTGCGCGGCCAATCAGCATCTCCATGCAGACCCAATCTAATACACTGCCCCTCCCCCATTCTAATACACTTTCCCCAAATCCAATCTAATAAACTGACCATTAACCTAATACACTGCCCCTTCTTCCTCCACTCTAATTGAATACACTGCCCCCACTCTAATTTAATACACTGCCCTTCCTCCCCCCAATTTAATACACTCCCGCCCTAACTGCACTAATTGAATACACTCCCCACCACTCTAATCCACTGCCCTCCTCCCCCAATTTAACCCAATGCCCCCACTCCCACCATTCTAATTGATTACATTGCCCTTCCCCCAATTTAACCTCCCTCAATTTGACACATTGCTCCTTCCCACCACTCTAATACACTGTCCCCTCCCTTCCCCAATTTAATACACTGCCCCCCTCCCTCCCCAAATTAATACACTGTCCTCCTCCTAATTTAACACACTGCCCACCTCCCACCACTCTAATACACAGCCCCACTCCCTCCCCCAATTTAATACACTGGCACCGTCCATTCCCCAAATGAATACAGTGCCCCATTCCTCCCCAAATTGAATACACTGGCCCCCACCATTCCCAAATTAATACAATACCCCTTCCCACCCGCAATTTAATACACTGGCACCCTCCCTCCTCCCCTTTTTGTCATGTACCTAAGTTGCAACATTGTATTCCCCCCTACTCCATTCCCTTATCGCTGTCAGCATTCATGTCCTTCCTACCTTACCAGTCCAGGGAGGTTCTTTTCTGTATTGCGGCTGTTCGCAGCCACAGCACAAAGCGGCCTCAGGGCAGGCGGGCTGCACATATATTCACTGTGGGTCATTGTGGGCCGCAAGTTTGAAATGCTTGCTTTACAGAGTTTTGTGTCATTTGCAAACTCTGAAACATGAATTTCAATGCTTTTTTCAAGATCATTTATAAATAGAGTTGAGCGAACCTGGACTGTAAAGTTCGGGTTCGTACCGAACTTTAAGTTTTTTGGACCGCGGACCCGAACACGGACATATCACTGTATGTTTGGGTTGGAGATCGGTCTTCGGCTATTTAATGGCGCGTTTTCAAAGGCTGCAGGGCAGCTAATCAACAAGTGTTTGACTCGTGTGCCCTTAAAAGCCATCACAGCCATGCCTACTAATGGCATGGCTGTGATTGGCCAGTGAAGCATGTGACTCTATATATAAGTTGGAGTCGCATAGCGCCGCACGCACATGAGGTCTTATTAGGGAGAGGATGCTGCCACTGTGAGGGACAGCTTAGGAAAGAATTCTGCAAACTAGTACATTAGTGGGGTGCACTTCATATCTGAGAGTCAAATAGAAGCATCAAATACCACAGTTACATCGGAGTTTTAAAAAGTAAATTTTTTTGGGTGCTAAAAAGTTCATTAGTGGGGTGCACTTCATATCTGAGAGTTAAATAAAAGCGGCAAATACTGCTGTCACATTGCAGTTTTAAAACTTAAAATTGTTTGGGTGCTAGAAAGTACATTAGTGGGGTGCACTTCATATCTGAGAGTCAAATAGAAGTGTCAAATACTGCGGTTACAGTGCAATTGTAAACATTCTAATTGCTTTGCTGCTAATCTGCTAAATAGTAAATTTTGGGGCCTGCTCTTCATATCTGAGAGTCAAATAGAAGTGTCAAATAGTGCGCTTACTGCGCAGTTGTAACAATTCTTATTTTCTGGGTGCTAATCTGCTAAATAGTACATTTTGGGCGTGCTCTTCATATATGAGAGTCAAATAGAAGCGTCTAATAGTGCGCTTACAGCGCAGTTGTAAACATTCTAATTGTTTTGCTGCTAATCTGCTAAATAGTACATTTTGGGGACTGTTCTTCATATCTGAGAGCCAAATCGAAGCGTAACTTTGATTCGAATTTACTACATCGGTCACTTGTAATATTGTTTCACACCTAGAACACTTGTTACACAGATCTAAGTGATAGAAAACAGATTGATATTTTCTACACTAGAAACTACCAGATAACAAGCTGTTATATTTAAACCAGTTATCAATAGCAAAGAGGTACTTCAACAATATTGTAGTTCTGGGGCAATAACCTCACAAGTCAAACTGAAAGGTCAGTTTATAGGGAAAACTGTTGCCTGGATATAATTCTAAAGCAATTTCCATATGTCCTTTGCAGACTTTACATGCCTGAAAAACACAGGTGCCAACTTCTGTAGCTTTCTGCAGTGTGCATACCGGCAAGGAGGGCAGGGTTGAGGAGTGGGTGAAAGATGATGTGGAGGATGATGAGGTCCTAGACCCCACATGGAATCAAGGTCATGCGAGTGACGTGTGCAGTTTGGAGGAAGAGGCGTTGGTTGCACAGAGGCACCAGCACAGCATAAGAGGGAGCAGGGTGCAAAAGAGGAGCGGCCGTCCCCTAGCGCTCATCGGCATGTATTATCTTTAGAATTCCCACAGTTATCCAAGTAACAGTTGAAGCGATAAAAAGAACCATAACAGATTTAACAAGCCATTCACAGTTTCGCAGTATGGTGACCGGGACCAAGACACTGTCTGGGCGGCGGTCGGACGACTGGGACCCAGTATGACTGATGTAGAAGTTAGGAGTCACAGTGTGTAATGGATTAGCACGGTCTGGTGCACCAGCGTTTGTGCGGCCACATACCAGGACCCTGATGCAGCTTCAGTAAAAAGAATACTGGATACCAGAAGCCATCACCAGACTGATCCGCAACTTGGAACAGAATGTGACAATCACTGTAGCGGTTGTGCGCACTTTCAGCATTCTCACCCTGCTGCTGCTCGCCTGTCTGCGCTGCTGCGTAACTTTGGCTTTCCCGCTCACTGCCTCATATGCGACGTGCCCACAAGGTGGAACTCCACCTTGCACATGTTGGAGAGACTGTTTCAGCAGCAACAGGCGATAGTGCAGTTTCAGCTGCAGCACGCACAGGTCAGTGGCTCTGCAACAGACTTCCCTCCAATTGATCAGAGTTAAAGGATTTCAAGTGGACTCATTACAATTACAGGGCCTCTAAAGAGTCCTGTATTGTTCTTTGTCATCACTACCTTCCCGCGTCGGGAGTGGGTCATTTGTGCGCCTGCTGCCTTCCTTGCATGTGGTAGCCGTTTGTCCGTGTCTCTGTACAGAATCGAACCCTGATTCTCCGTTACCCGTGGTCACCATGGTAGGCGCAGTCAATGGCATCGAAAGTTGATATGGATTGACATACGAATGCGTCATCGTCTTCTCGTTGGGGAGCACATTGTCCCAATATTTTGGGGGCTACCCCAATTAAAATAATATATTTATATATATATATATATATATATATATATATATATATATATATATAAACAGTGTTGGCTACCTCCTCCTCCTCCACCTCCACTTCCACTACACCACCACGGTCACCGCCTCCTCAACCTATGGGTCACTTAGTATAAACTATGTACACAATAGCAGAGGCTTGTGTAGGCCTTTTCTCCATGCATCAGGAGTTCAGCATTTCTCGATGCGTGGAGAACTGCAAGAAATGCACCTCAGGCCAAAATATGTTTCTTTTTTTGAATGTCCCAATATTTTTGGGGATACCACAATTAAAATAAAAAATATATATATATAAACAGTGTTGGCTACCTCCTCCTCCTCCACCGCCGCTTCCACCTACACCACCACAGTCACCGCCTCCTCAACCTTAGTATACTTAGTATAAACTATAGCAGAGGCTTGTGAAGGCCTTTTCTCTATGCATCAGGAGTTGCATCAGGAGTTGAGCTCAGTTTGAACAATGAAAGAGAATACCCTGCACTCCAACCCTCTCTCAAATGGATATTTCTGGTCATCCTCTTGACAGCCATGCTTTAGATTTTGATTAATGTTCTTCCAAAGTTAAAATCAAAGATTCCATCTAGTGCTATTTTATGGCTCAGCTGTATTTTAATGTTATTTTAAGTGATTTCCCTATCCACATTTGTTTGCAGGGCACTTGTCCTACTCTTACCCCCATTTTACTTCCATTTTCAGCCCTCTAGCCCTTTCCAGGACTTTTTTAAAGGGAATTTTTGTGCCCAAAAGTTCAGGTCCCCATTGACTTCAATGGGGTTCAGGTTCGGGGTCAAGTTCGAGGTGAAGTTCGATCCCGAAGCCGGACTTTTTTCAAAGTTCTGCCGAACCCGCCGGACCCGAACATCCAGGTGTCCGCTCAACTCTATTTATAAACATGTTAAATAGAAGGGGTCCCAGAATAGAACCCTGAGGGACACCACTTACCATCTCTGTCCAGCTTGACAAATGACAAATCGCTGTACTCTATTTTTAAGCCAACATTCTACCCAAGAACAAGAATTTTCATTTAGACCAAGTTCTTTGAGCTTGAACACTAATCTATTGTATAGGACTGTATCAAATGCCTCAGCAAAATCCATATAGATCACATCCACTGCATTACCCTAATCTATACTTCTACTTATTTCGTCATAGAATGCAATTAAGTTAGTTTGACATGATCTGTACTTCATAAAACCATGCTGATAACCACATTTAATTCTTAAATATTATCCTTTAATAATATTTCAAATACCTTTGCAGCCACAGAAGTTAAAGTCCAGGCAAGGATTTTGAACAATTTTTTGAACAATTTTTGAATATAAGAACCATATCTGCCTTCTGACAAACCTCTAGTACAGTAGAGGTGGTTAAATCCACCTCTAATGGTTGTTTCCATTACTACACTGACTGAATAAAATTTGTTCATGTGACACGGAAATGCATAGGAAAACACTGAATACAAAGGTCATAATTTGCAAACTTGAAAAATGTAGTAATTCATCTATGCTTTCCATTCTGCTACACAAGTCTTACATTTGAAATTCACTTTGAATCACTTTAGTTAATAACTATTATAATCTGTAAACATTCCAGATGTGTGTAATTAGATATGTTCTAAAAGAAAGAGAACATAGTCATTATTTATTAATTTGTAAATAAACACCTACAGTAGACGACAGTATTTTATTACATGACAAGAGGCTTCATATTTTGCATTAACTTCCTTTACTACACCATAACAGCAAAGACATATAGACAAAATAAACCAATCAGAGACAGGCAAAGAGAATAAGATACACCTCCCATTGAGGCACTTCCTCTTTCTTTGCTGCTCCATCACAAGTCAGGTCAGAATATTGTGTGTCTGCACTTTGTTTGCTATTCACTTATATTGATTTATTTTTACAGATTTCTTTCAATTTCATAATGTATATGTATTTATGTTTAAACATTTTATTGGTAGTGGTGGTCCTGGTTATATAATTTGGGGTGGCCTAGGGCTTTGGGGGATTTTATGTGGGAGCCTCTACCTCCACTTCCTGCCAGTTCTTCTTTCGGGCATCCCACTACCCTGTTTTCACCTAGTTGCCACACTCGCCACTTCATAGGAACTCTCTCGCCGATGCATGCTCTCCTCACATGGGGCAGCGTGAGGCGCCATTGAGATTATCCCTCCTGTGAGGCTTCTGCAATTTGCACGCATTCGTGCATTCTGGTTCGCCTACTCTTTGTCTTCAATCTACTGAACTCGTACATCTATACATGTTCGGAGTTATGTACTTTTTCTGTCAGGCATTCGCGGTTCGTACGCATTCGTGCATTCATGTACGTCTGTTTTCCTCCTTCAAACTACCAAACGTGTACTCCAATACGCCTTCGGTGGTTTGTATTTCTCCTGGTTTGGCCATTTGGGCCATTCTACTCTCGAGCGCACATACCTTCACCATATGGTAGTTTCCCTTTGGGTTCTTGGTTCCTGTGTTAGTTTTTTTCCTCAGTTTGGTTTTCCGTTCAGTTTTTCCAACATATCTGTACTGTCTCTGTTCGCCTAATTTCAGGTGACCGTTCAGCATATTCCCCACGAAGGCATTTTGCGCGCTTTTTCGCTGCCATTTTGGATCTCGTCTTGCGAGATCCACAACGGCCATTTTAACCCTTGTTTGTTGTTAGGAGTTTGATCTGGATAGTCGTCTTTTGTTGTGCTCTGACTTTACAATGTGGAATCTGTGCAGAAATTGATTCTGTTCACCTTGTCTGCTATAGGGACCTGTTACAGATTAGTACTAACCTAGGGGGGAGTCAGCCGGTCAGATTTATACCTATTAACCTGGCTTTGGGTGAGGCCCATATACTGCGCTGCCAAGTGGAGCTATGCTTGTAGCCTCCTATTTACCTGGGTGAGCTCCAGCGATGCCACTGTATACATTACTGTGGGTCGCATACTCGAGCACCATATCCCCCTAGCAGTCCCTGCTAACAATTTTCCTATCTAATTATTATTTTGGGTGAGCCCCGAGTATACTGAGTGTTAATGATGGAAGACTCACAGATGCCCTCAGACCTCCAGGCATTGAGGTAGCTACTTCTGTGGAGAAGGCCTTAGCTAAGGCATTACAGGAAAATCAAGACATAACCAAAATGCAAACTAAACACTCCCAACAGAGAGACGTCTCGGATGAGTCTGTCTCCTCTTCCAAGGAGCAAGGCCGCCCTGCTAAACGCCATTGGTAAGGCAAAGGGTCAAATTCGAAGCCTACTAAGGGTAAGGCTCCCCTTAGGGAGGAAAAACTTACAACGCCTGTGAATCCACCGACCTGTGATGCTTCCTCGGACAAGGAGCAGGATGTTCCCCCTCACTGTCGGTTCTCAAAGAGTGGCAAGTGGAAGATTCTGACTCTGATGACGGAACTTGGGGTCCCAACCCCTTTGTGATACACACAAAAACTGACATACATTGTATGTATATGTGATTTCGGTATATTGTATATGATTTTCAGGTGTCATAGAGCCGCAATAAAAATGCAGGAGACTCCAGGAACATCCAGGAGAGTTGGGAGGTCTGGGTGTATCTAAAAGCAGCTCTTCCTCCCTTTCTTCAACAGGGCAACCATTCTGTAGCTGTCCAATCAAAGACTTATCAATGCAGCTCAATGAGAATGCTTTGCAAGGCAAGTGCTCTGGGCAATTTCCTGACTTTTGAGTTGAGCTCCACTGAGCTAAACAACCAGGAAGTAGCAGGGTTGGGTGTCTGATAGCCAGGGGGTGTAACAAAGTATCAATGATACAAGTTTATAAAAACTGTTAGATTTGTTTTCCATACCAGTGCCTCTGTCCATTTACCCATGAAATGCGTTAGGCTGTTGTAAATCGGTTCCTTGTGCTATCAGTGGATATTACATTTGCGCTAAGTGTGTGGATATGAAATTTTCTGATTCATAAAACTTTTTCTCTTTATTCATTTGAGGTTCTTATGCCATCTTTTCTGTAAAGCAGCAAAATAATCATTCTTTCTAGGCCTTTTAATTCTTCAGTATTGTTCCTTTTTTCCTGATAAGCTTACCATAAATTACATAAGATAAAGGAGTAATTTTACTTGGAAGCTACCAGATATGTACAATACGGAATCACTGCTTGTTAAGGCAAGTTAAACCAGTTAAACTAACTGATGAACAAGGTGGCCTCTGTATCTCACCAGATTATTCTAACTCACTAAAATGCATTATATGAAATGGTACTTGAAAACCTGCAAGCAAGGAACAGTTGTGTATAATTATTTCACCACATCATTTTACTGTGTACCTTATTTCTCTTCCAAAATCATAGTAGACAATAGTAGCCAGATGGCTTTCCTCATTAGTTCCAACGAATCCCTAAAGTGGATAATTTATCAAACTGCTGAAATGACATTGACCAACTTCACAAATTACTTATTATCACTCAGCACTTCCATTTACATTATTCAACTAACCAAACTCATTTTCAGATTATATTTATTCAGGTTCATTTCAAAGATGACAACATTGTAAGAGATGCAAATACTTAAACAAACATAAATGTTTCCTGTGCCTCCCCGATGCATGGTAAATACATCGAATTTTTGTAAATATAAGTGCATCTGTTTTAAACTTGTAGAAAGATGGAGACATGGACATCAAACTTGCTGCATATCTGGCACAAGTACCGCTAAATGTTTATAACAGTGCATAAAATATTCTAACAAACCATTTACCAGGATATAACAACCTTTAAACTATGTTAATCCGTGCCAATTCAGTGTATAAATATTTACACTGAGCCACATTGTATGTTTTAGTTTGTTTTTTAAAAACTGTTTGTCAAATCTGATTGGCTTGACCCAGAATTGATTCAGTAACACATGTATGTCTTATTAATGCATCTATTTTGTGAAAACTAAGACATGAAGTAAAATTATTCGAAACAAGTCAGTAACCAGCCAGATAACTGAAATACACCTTATATGCTTAAACATTTAAGCAAAAACCATTAAGATTTGAGCATGAGAAAAATACAGCACATTAATGAGG